CAGTCATACCCAGACCCAAGTGGAGCCGCACGCAAGCCTCGTATTCGCTACCTCACTGATCAGAGTCTTACGCCCTAACCATTGAGCCACAAGCTCGTTGTCTTGCCAGTTTAGGTCAGGAGATATTTACACTCGTCGATGAACGGTCACCGATCGCTAACGTAACTCACTTGTCCTGCTCCGACTTTGATGAATGTTCACCCACCGCTAACGTTCTGTCTTTGCCGACAACACTATCTGCCTATACTACCAGCTGTTACGGCTGTCAGGGTTTCTGTCGAGAGTGGGCCAGATGAGTTCCGTTAGGGGTCGGTGAACGTTCATCAAGACGCGTGTAAATTCGGGTTTTATAGTGTGGCCGGTTGCGGAGTGGCCCTTTAACTCCGTAGATAGCTCTTGTAAATTACTGTTGACATTCCGGAAGAAAGACCCCCAGTCAGAGGGCAGCTTTGTTTAAGCTAGAACGTTTTTAAAGTGTCGGTTTACTTCGGCCTAAGGCGTTCGTCTGAACACTACTCAAAAGCCAGTATCTCCGTTTTTTTTCAAACGCATCGTGCTCCGCCGCCTAAGTGAGCAGTTTTCAATGACATATAGGCAGTTGAGTTTTTGAGGTTGCCTGCAGACGTAGGTGTAGTGGCACCTTTGATGAGTGTGGGTATGGGGAGGGGGGAGGGGTTGTGGTAATGTTTTAACTGCTGCGGTTACCGACAGTGAATCACAGTCATGACCCGTTTCCTCATTAAGATGTAATTAATCTGTGCGGTGCTGACTCATTGACCCTGCTAAGGGCGTTTTACTGAGCCCCGTGTCGTTTGCTAATAACAACCCGCTGTCATATAGCTGACAGATGAAACATCTTGTGGAGGCGATGGAGAGTCGGTGAGTCACCGATGCTTCGGTTGGTTCTAAGTCACTAGCTTCAGCTCTAATAAGGAGGATAAATTCCTAAAATACTTCTAGTTATAATAGTGTTGAAATTCCTTGATGAACGTCCACCGACCGCCAACGGAACTTACTTGTCCCGCTCTGCCTTGGGTTTAATCTCTCGGACCGTGAAAGCAGCCATAGCGGCTAATATTCTAGGCAAAGTTGACTAGAATAGCCATTTCTGGCTTATTAGACGTCGTCGGCCAGTCATACCCAGGCCCAAATGGCGTCCCACTCGAGCCTCGAACCCACGACTTTTTTGATCCGAGTCAAACGCCCTAACCATTAAGCCACGAGCTCGCTGTCTGGCCGGGTTAGGTCGGGGGATATTGACACTCATTGATG